AAAGAAAAGCAGAATCAAAGCAAGCAGACAAAAGGAGAGTGATGAGGGGACTACCTGTTATTGTGTTGCCGTATACTCAGACTAAAGCCTGGGAGGAGCGAAAAACAAAACAAAGCAAGCAAATCCTATCCAGGATACGGACTGGGTTTCCAGAAGGGCAGTTCAAGGGTTGATCTAGCCAGGAGGGGAGGGCAAATAGTTTCTTTTCTTTTCCAAGATCCACGGATTGGACACTTGAAGGAACAGAGAAAGAACAAAAGAGTCAAGCAAGTAGTAGTTCAAGCCTTGAGAGCAGGTGGAGATGATGGGATAGTAGTAGGCAAGAGCTGATTTGACTGTGACAAATCTAGCAGAAGTAGTATGGAGGGGTAGTGTGTGTTTTGGAAGTGTTGAGTGTGTGTGGAGTAAAAGAAGATCAATGGAAAGTAAAAGGGGTATCTTGGGTTCGTTGGGTATCAAGAGTGGGCAAAGTTCGGATTTCTTCTTTGAGTCTGGTGTGATGATGATGAGGAGAATAGGAAAGGTCGAGAAGAATTCCATCTGGAGGGGAAAGGACGGCCTTTTAGAGGCGAGGGAACCGGCTGGAGTCTCGTTCAGGAGGCCAGGCGTGGGGGGCTATCGGAGGAGACGGTGCGTCCAAGCGTGTGCCGGAGGTGCATGCTTGCTGCAGCCGGCTGCCTCACTGGCCGTATCGAGCATGATGATTTGGCGCTGCGAGACATGGCGGTGATAGTGGTGCAGCGCCAGGTGGTGTTGTCCGGTCCCTCTCTGCCAATGATTCTCGGAAGTCGCCCATCATGGAGGGGCTTGACGTGGCCGGTGGGTGGATGTATCTAAAGGTATCATTTGGCAACGGCACCACCCGGGCAATTGCTCAATCTAGCGGTGAGGCGGGCCTCACCCGTCCTCCACCTATCCAAGAAGTATGATTGGCGGCCAAGGAGAAGATGGGCTGCAGTGTTGCATCACCGGCAGCAAAGCCCCTCAGCCGGCAGGATTGGCAATCCTAAATGATTGGCGCCGAGCCTTTCCTGAGAGTTCCCCGTGGTTTGTCGCGTGCAGGGCTATCCCTGTACCTGCTAGCCAGTCATCGGCATTTCCTCGGCGGCCCCGCTTTCCCTCGTGAAAGGATGCCAACTTTGGCTTCATCCTTTGGCTGCGATGCCCACCACGTCAATCCCCTCCTACATCTCGCGGAACAGGGATCTCGCTTGTCGCAGCTACTGCACATAATTGACAATTGCCCCTCCTTCCCCGGGACAGCGTGTTGCTTCATGCCACAGCGGCTCGCTTCGCCCAATCTCGCCGCTTGCTGCGAAAGAAAAGGAGGGGGAGGGGTTGTGCCATCCAGTTTGACTGACATGTTTGCTACGTTTCATGATGAGGAACCTCACATCCTTCTTCCGGATATTAGTTGACAGCTGCGCTCCGGGCTTCATCCACCGGCGCAAGCAAGACTTGACACCACGGGAAGTTGGGCAGCAATGTGATGGATTTAATTACGGGACTGCCGGGAAGTTTCTTTTTACGCTTGTCTCAGAATAAGCTGGAAGTTCAATAATCAGGGTTGGATTGGATTCATCACAATTTCAATAATCCCGCTCTCTCTCAAATTAAAATTCTAAATTATGGGTATCCCGTTCTACGCCGTATATTCCCGCACCGTTCAGTTCTAGGCATCCTAAAGCATGCAATGTCAGCGATTGGTTCTCGAACGATATTCCAATTTGAATAGCAGACAATGACGCAACAATGGGTGTGTATCAGATAAAGGTGAAAGATGGTATACAGTTTTCGTTCAACAATCCGAAGATCTCAGGTGAACTATGCTTATTGGTATGGTGTTCATCATTGTGGGCATATAGCCCCCAGTGACACCCATGTAGAAAAGGGGTAGAAAAAGAAAAAAGCGCTGCGCTTACCTGTTGCCTGAAAGACCCAGAAAAGGGGGAGTCGTAAAAAATTGGAGAAAAGACGAAAAGAAAGCTAGACGGCGCGCAGACCTCGCCAGGAACCCTGTGCGACGAGGCTGCCAGCTGGTCGCATCGCTGACACGAAACAGTTTCAGAAACCCGCCTACATCAAAGCAAGGCCAATGAACTCCTCATGTCTGGTTCCGAGCAAGCAAATAAGATGATGCAGGCACCATCTTTGCCACCTCTGGCGTGTCCGTTGTCGTCTGCGTGGTGTCAAGAAGAAAGGGAAAAGAATTTGGCATGTGGGAAGATATTTTAAGAGCCGCCGAAGCGAATCATGCACGTGATATGTTTGCACGGATTGCACCCCCACTCAAGCCGAGGTTCCGATGATCCAAGATGAAGCTAAATTAGTGACGCCCAAGTTCTACGGTAGTGACCTGGGTCGTTTGCCGGGCCGAGCCGTTTCCAGATGTCTTGCTTAGACGAGAGTCCTAATGATGCTAGTCGATGGACTTCACCATACCTCATGTGGTAAGTTGTCCAATTTGTCTTGCACATAAATAAGATCACATAATCTGATCATAACGCTGTACTCTAGGTCGCTATACACATTATGCTGCCTCATCAGGGAATGCGTTGTGATACCTTGACGACCTCCTTCCGGCTCCTATACGCGCATTCACTTGAAATCTCGATGAACGCGTTTTGCAAACGTAGCTGCTTAGGCACAATTAACATTTATGACAGCTCTCTAGGCCACAGGCATGATCAGTTATTTCCGATTGTGTGTCCAGTTCCCGTTGTAACTGATTGTGGTGTTGGCGGCCTGGTCCTCGGTCCCAATACCACACTCGTAGTGTTACTACACTACCGTAATCCTAACATGTGGATGCTTCTTGACCTTACATGTGTATTCGTCATACATCACATGACGCTCATTCCGCACGCCGTTATACTGCCAGAGGATATATACCCTCCCTCGTGTCTCTCTTGAAAATATCCTGGGTCATTATGCCATCTTTGCAGAGTTAAACGCAACATGAATTGGACCGGAGGTCGTCTTCGACGACACTCGAGCAATAATACAGGAAACAGAAAGCAAAATTTCAAGAGGTCAAGAATAGCGGAGACCAAAGGTCCTTTCACGACTTCCCTAAATAAGAATATCTGCCTCGAAGGCATTCAAGCTAGAGAACCATGCAGCAAGCCAATGCATCATCCAAGCCAGCAGGTAGAGTACGTCCGTGAATCCGTTAGTCCTTGATGCTAAGTCAGGATCAAGTCTAGCCATAGTTCCTCTCTCTTCTACCCCGCGAAGAAACCACGTCTCGTATCGACTGTACAGGAGTCCTCACAAGCAGCTCAAGACTTAGCACAAATTAAGCATAAAATGCTAGAGAAGGCTGACTGGGCATCGGTTGCAGCAGCACGGCCACTCACGGTGCTATTCCCTCCAGTAGAAGCTTTAAAGAAATTTGGGAGGCGGAGAAAAATAACGAATGATGACCGTGAGAGGCTCGGGTCTTCTGTCCTGCGTCCAAAGCTTACCTACGGCCCCAAGCATCGCAGAGGTGCAGAGTCAGAGGAGAGCATACAAGACCTGGACATAAGAATAAGTGGCCAACCTGTTGGAGCTAACTATCCGGGGTTCCATGGCCCACCAACTGATGCTACATCGCAGTCAATGCTTCTGGACCATGAGTCCCCTCCCACAACGCCAAAGCCACTCGTGCATGAGTATGTCTGTGATGACGTCAGCGTTAGGAGCTCAGTCGGTGACAGGTCTTGGATTCTAGACTCTTCAAGCATCGCACCTTTATGTGTGTCGTCCTCTGATAGAGGATTGTCCACCCGGGGAAATTCCATAGTCCGGGGCTCGGATTACTTCGTTGACAATTCCACTGGCAAGGAGCAGTTCCAGGTTACAGGCTTGAAACCTCTACAGTCAGCAGACACTAGCCCAAAAATTCAAGAAGCAGGGACTCCGATTAGGCGACGATTCACGATAGATGACCAGATTCTTGCCGAAGAGGAATGGATGAAGGCAGTCTATGGCACATCCCTGGAAAGAGACGGTTACTCAACCGCTCATCAATTTTCTCAAAGCCTTTTGAACCCTGAACTATCTTCACCAACTGCAAATGACAGTAGACGGCAGATATCTGCGCAAGAGTCCATGAGCACTTCATCAACATTGAATCACTCCAGTTATGGTTGGCTCCCAGAGCCGCGCCACAACATACAACGAGTTATATTACAAAGGACAGATAAGGGACAGATTGATAAGGTGCCCAGTGAATCTCGATTACGAGGCACCAGGCTCGCTCCTCTATTAAGAAAATCGACCACATCCCCTCTGATAATCTTTGGCCAGGCTGTCGATCTTGATGGTTGTCTATTCGCTAAGCAAGTTGAGCACGGAAAACAACAGGCTCAACACGACTTCACATGTTCTGCCATCACGTTTCGTGAAGCTAACAGTTATATATCAACGGATAACTATCCGTTCGAGACAAATCTCCGTCGACCAGATGACTTTGCATTTTCACCGAATACGGTCAAACTCAGCAAGCCTACCGTAGCGCCAAGGGCTGCAAGAATATACATTGATCAAGCATGCGCTACTCCTCTTTCAAGAACAGCAGGACCAGAACGGGTGTTTCCTTGGAGGCACCCAGAGGATCGGCCCGCCCAAGAATGGACCAATCGACGTAGTTTATACAACTAGGTCCAGGCACATGAGCCTAACTCAACAGGACACCATCTTATGACCCACTTGTACTACAAGGCGTGATAAGCATGTCACTGCTCTACGTTTATCCTTTAAGTGTTGGTAAGAATTGGGTAGCTATAAAGCCCTCTAAAATAATAATGAGCTCCATAGTGACCCGTTAAATCGTCAGTCACATGCCGATCTTACGTCAGGCACAGGAAGCCAGCCCCGACAACGTGACATCCACCTGTCTCCGCATCTCCGCAGGTACAACAACAACACCATCCCAATACTATACATCTATCTCAACCATCTTTTCTTCCTCCCACCTACAACTACTGAGCTTCATCTCACACCGTGACAACAAAATGCGTCCCCTAACACCACTCCTCACCCTCCTCCCCCTTCTCCCCTTCACAACCGCCCACCCAACCCACCAACTCCAAACCACAACCAGCACAACCAACACCACAACCGAGCTCCGCGCCCTCCCCCTCGTAATCTGGCACGGCCTCGGCGACCAATACCAGAGCCCCTCGCTGCAACACCTGATCAAAGTCGCCGAAGACGCCAATCCGGGAACCTACACCTACCTCATCCACCTCTCCCCCACCAGCGCCGGCGACCGCCAAGCAACCTTCCTAGGCAACCTTACAGAGCAAATCGCCTCCGTCTGCTCCCAACTCCTCCAAGACCCCATCCTCTCCACCGCTCCCGCCATCAACGCCCTGGGCTTCTCCCAAGGCGGGCAATTCCTGCGCGGCTACATCGAACGCTGCAACGCTCCGCCCGTCCGCACGCTCATCACCCTGGGCAGCCAGCACAACGGCATCTCTCAATTCCAATCCTGCGCCTGGAACGACTTCATCTGCCGGGGGGCGGAAGCCCTCCTCCGCTCCGGCCGATGGTCAACCTTCGTACAGGGCCGGCTCGTCCCCGCGCAGTATTTCCGGGACCCCGAACCCAGCGAAATGGAGGAGTACCTCAAGCATAGCAATTTCCTGGCCGACGTGAACAACGAGCGGGTGGTGAAGAATGAAACCTATAAGGAGAACCTGGGGAAATTAGAGAAATTCGTCATGTACATGTTCGAGAAGGATCGGATGGTGGTACCGAAGGAGTCAAGCTGGTTTGGAGAGGTAGATGGGGAATCTGGCGGTGTAGTGGGAGTCAGGGAGAGGAGTATTTATAAGGAAGATTGGATCGGGCTGAGGGAATTAGATGAACGGGGTGGGTTGGTGTTTAGGACACTCAAGGGCGGGCATATGGAGTTTGATGAGGAGGAGCTGGTGGACATTTTCAGAGAGTTCTTGGGACCCATTGAAGTGGAGATTCCTGATGATGAGGTTGAAATTGATGAGAAGAAGATGAGGTTGGTGAGTCAGGGAGGTTACTACTAGTATTGATTCTTCTTTCGCTTTGCTTTGCTCCGCTTTTTTTGAGGGATTGAAATGATGGTAGAGGGGAAGAGTTACGGCGCTACTACGGAGTAATATTATATATTATACCCAGCCTTGGTTGGTTCAGATTGTCTTCAATTCCGACTCTTCGCTTTCGCTAAATTCTATTCTATACTTTTACTTCACTACTACTAGTGGTACTAGTAGCACTAATGCAATGATGGTACTATTAAATACATGCAAATGCACACACACACACTAAGCTGCAATCCATTATATGCTTACATCGGGATATCACATCACAGCCAGAGAAGGAGACCACTGGAAACGAACATGAAAAGCTAAGCTAATAAGAAACAAATATGAATTGGCAGGGAGGAGCAGCAGGTAATATCCAAGAAAAGAGATAAGAGAAAAGATACAGTAGCCAGCAATAACAACAACAATAAGAAATGACGAAAATACCGCATGTAGTAAGTAGGTAAGCAAGCAAGTAGTGTACGCAGTACAGCTCTATCAAATCAATCAAGCAAGCACAGTCCGTCAGTTTAATCCACATCGCAGTACGGCATTATTAATGATCATGCATAAATAGACGATGCATCATCCATCCTGACGCATGCGCGTGGTAATAGATAATGAGACAGACATATAAGTGGTGGTAGTAGTAAGTAACAACAAAGGAGAAATGTTGGGTAGTAATTGGTGCCAGGTATTTCGGCGCAGGGAATGGAATGTTCAGAGAGGAAGAAAAGGAAAAGAATGTTGTTGAAAGCAGTTGAAAAGATGGGATATATCATGGGCCTCGACGATCATGACTCGAACAACCTGGTGGAAGACCCGGGTGGATGGAAGTAAGTAATGCAAATGCAATAGTCGGAAATAGGAAAGAAAAGTGTATGAAGGAGAGTACTAGTTCTTCAAAGAAGGAGGATACGTCATCAATAAGGCGGACGGCCGATTCCTCCAGTAATGCCCCGTCGAGAAGCACCACGGGGCCTGCCGGGGCGCGGCTGCGACTCTGCATGTGCCGGGGACAAGAACCCGTTCAGAAGGTTCTGCACCTCACGGCGCTGGGCACTGTCCGTTGGCTCGGACAGGTCTGGCACCCCGTCGTAGACATGGCCTCTTGAGTAGTCACCATCAGCCGCTGCAGCTGCGAGACCCGTACTGGACCGGCTCTTGTGCTTGTTGAGAGATTTGCCGTGGTGAGGCGCGGCAGGTGTGCCGGGCTTGCCGTTTGCTGTTGGCAGCCGACGCGGCCCTGGTGCAGTGGAAGGTCGCTCTGACGCCAGGGATCGCTGCGAGTCGTTCGACATGCCTCCGGTGACCGACAAGGACGGAGGGATCGGTGGTACAGGAGGAATATCGTCTGCGGTCATGAAGTAGGCCTGTCCGTTCTCTGTGTATCCTAAGGCGGAAGCTTTGGGAGTCACCATGCCGTCGCCATCCGGAAGACCGTGTCCATCCCTGGTCGACTGGGGTCTGATCGAAGCTCCGTCTCCGTCAATCTCAGACAAGGAATACCCGCTGACCATGCTCTCGCTGCTAGACGAGACCACGCTGCGGTTGGAAGCATCCAGTCGACCACGTAGCGGGCTCAACCGGCGCATCTTGTCCTGATCGTTGATGGAAAGAACACGACGCAGGTCGTTGATATGAACCGGTGACTCTCTGCTAATGCTCTGAACGTGCCCCCGGGCAGATTCGGGGACGCTCATCCGCCGCGAGTTGTGCAGTCCGGCTGCACTCTGCTGCGCGGATGGAGGCGAGGTAGTCGATGGCGAACTGCCGTCCGCCCCATTCAGGTAAATGTGGCTGCGCATCGCCATTGTTCCGACCTTGGAGCCATTGAGAGACAATGCTTCGGTCCTCTCCCGCTCCGCGGCTGCAAGGCATGATTCTCGGGACCATGCCGAAAGCATCTGCTCCCTGACAAGTGGAGGAAGAAGATCACCGCGCGGAGCTGAAACCGATCCGTGTCCCAGGATAGGCATAGTGAAGCTGCGCGTTGGGGAGCCCGGGGGGCTGTGAGAAGAGACGAGCGCGGCATGGTTGTATGCATCTTCGATGCCACGAACAAGGTGCTCAACGTCGGTGATGAAGGGAGTCATCTGATCAGTGTTCGTGGCGTTACCGGTGGCACGGTGATCTCCACCTTGTAGAATTTGGTCGAAATCAGCGGCGGGCAAGCGGATAGGATCAAGCCAAAGGCCAAGCTGTTGCCTCTTGGAGATCTCTGCTTGAATGGCCTGGCCTACCTCTGTCGATCCCAGCTCGAGTCGCTCAGACAAGGCCCAGAGATATCCATACACCAAGCTTCCAATATTGACCTTGGCAGAACCGGATGCCAGGCTTGGAGCGCTGTTCATGTCATCTTGCAGCTTCAACACCATAGGCAGTCCAAACCGGGCGGCGTTGACCCCGAGTTTATCAACAAGGCTGGCCAAGATCAAATGAAGCAACCTGATTTCAGAAACACTAGTCGGGCTCTCGAGCGCGATGTCATAAATAGTCAGGTGGAGCATTCGGAGGAAGTTGAATTGAGCTGCGATGGCGGCCTTCTCTCTCTGCATCGCCGTAGACACTGATCGCTTTCCAGTCCTCTCGCCGACCTCCGTTAGGTCCCCTTTGGGAATTGAGGGTTTTGCGTGCTTGTCCTTGACGGTCAAGTCGCTCTGATTAGTTTCCAGCTTCAACCAAGACAGTAACGCATCAGCATACGCGTAACGCGCATCACCTTGACGTTCCTGCAACAGCCACTGCGTCCCTTCCCAGACGTGGATTCCAACATGGTTCCTGGACTCCACGCCAGATACAGCTGCGGGATTCCGAGAGTTCGCTACCATCAGAATGTTCTTGATAGCTCTAAGAGCGGCAACCCGTCCAGTAGTGGAAGAAAACGCGATGGAACTGGCCTCCCCAGTTAGACTGCCAGCCTGCGAAGCGGCTCCGGGAGAATCGTTTGAGACCTGTGCAGGATGTTCGTGGGTGGATGAAGGCTTGATCCGAGTCAGAACGACTCTAATCATATCTACAACTTGATCGCCATAGTAGATATGTGTCGTAAGATCTCCAATGCACCGCTGGAAGAGAGTGATCAAATCTGCTCTCTTCCCAGATAGTTCAACTTGCTTCTCCGAACCCGCAGGCGACAGCAGAAACGACATATGCTGCAGAAGACCCAAAAGGATATCGATAACGCTAAGACCGATCATGTTCACAGGAGACTTCAGCAACCAGTCAATCATGTAAACAATGATGAAAGGTTCATCTAGGGCTTCCTCTCTAGGGTTGGCATCGAAGAGAAGCTCCATGGCGGCAACCAAGATGATGAACCGCACCTGCACCGGGCACCACTTCGCGACCAGTTCAATCAACGACGTAGCCCAGCTATCGCACGAGTTCAAGGACAAGCCCAAGCTGGTGGTTCGGTTTCTGCGGAGCATGAAGTCCAATACAACCTTCGTGGTCACACGGATTTGACCGCGGCTGCTTCCAGTAACAACAATGCGCTCAAGGCAGCTGAGAGCAAGCAGCCTCACATCCATTTCCGCCTTCTTGTCTGCATCAGCCGCGGACTGAGAAGCCAAGGCCGGATCACCAGTCACGGTGTCGACAGTCTGCACGGTAGCGTTGCTGATTCGGCGCCGGTGCGCAAGATCCGCTTCACTGCTCTTTTCCGATTCCATAAGCTGCTGTTCCAGAGACGGAATAACATCCTCATCTCCGTGGCAAACGTTCTCCAGAATGACCGGCAATATGATCCGCAACGAATCTCCACCATCAGCAGCCAAGCCCGCCTCGGAACTGACCACTCCCTTGATCGCACGAAGTCCCGCATTGCGCCACCGTATCGCCGCAGGGCCGCTAGAAGCAGGATCCAGCTGGGGCGCATGCACCTCAGCGAAGCTCGCATACGTCCGCACAACCTCGCGGTATTGTGTCGCAAAGTCCTGTTCGGCCGACAACGCCGCCATATCCTGATGGCGGCAGAACATTTCAAAGGTCGCGATCGAGTCTTCAACGATTGTTATATCACGGGAGCGTAAGACGGTTTCAATTACCGTCAGCACGGAGCGGGCGTAGATGGGGAGGTCGCGGGGCACTTTCTCGATAAGCGCGGTGAGAATCTGAAGTGTCACCTGTACATTGCTTTACCAGAACATGTCAGCCCGTCACCCACAGAGATCAGCCAAGTGTATCTAGTCCTCACAACATACCCAATCTTGCGGCGCCAGACATCCCGAGCGGCCCGTTTCTCCAGGAAAGCGCCGACCTTGGTCAGCTTGCTGCGACGAGTGCTCGCATAGTAGAGCAGATAGGAAAGTTCACTCGGATTCGGCTTGACTTCCGGAATCCCCTTCTGGTATTGTGGATAGCATTTCAGAACCAAGACCTGATGCTTTGGCCGACATGACTGGCGTACGCCCTCCATTGGGCAAAGTGATTTGCAGGGCGATTACCCGATGACTGTATACTGCAGATTTTCAACGGTTGTAATAAAACAGGGTGCAGATCCGGTGACCGTTTTGGTCACCTGGAGGCAAGTATATTCAAGGACTGATTAAGGATCTGTAACAAGAAAAGACCATGAGGAAGTAAGGTGTGTCACGTCGCTAAGGCCTTACTGGGGGGTGAACGGGGTTGCGGCAACGGCCAACGTGGTTTAAGGAGAAAGGAAAGGAGAGGAGAGGAGAGGACAGGGCTTCCAGGTCGAGTTGCAATCACCACGGGTGGGGTCGATCCATCGGAGATGCTAGTAGTTACCCAGCCTGAACAAGGAGGTGGGGGATTGAGTGAAGAAAGAGGAACACTGTCAACCGCGGAGGTTGGCAAGCGAGGCAGAAGCGAAAAGTGTCGCCCTCCGGTTCTTTGGCGGATGGCGATAAGTTTAGTGTTGGGTTGCCGCGGCGAGATTGAACCAACGGCCTGCTCGGGAAATTCAGCCTGGCGCGCCGCTTCGGCCGCGTCACGGTTAGGCGGTCGCAGAACTTGCC